TGGCTCCAGTGAGCTGGGCTGGGCCTGGACTAGCAGTGGGCCATGAGAGCCCAATCTCCCATCCCACAGCTTCCACCGGTGCATCTTTGGTCACCTAGCTCTGATGACTTTCCTACCAGCCACCTGAGTGATGAGGACCAGGATGCCCCAGAGGCTCTGCAGTCCAGGGAGCCAAGAGCAGCTGGCTGGGTGTCTTCACCCCAACCCCACAGCCTGGCCTCACAGGGAAACCCCAGCTCACCAAGAGCCCAAGAGGCCTGAAACTGCCTGGGAGGACTCCCGCCTCCAGCAGGGCCCAGCCTTCTGATACCTGTGCCAAGCTCAAAAGGCCTTCTATGTTCTCACCCCATCCTGCTCTGGGAAGAAGCATTTATCCTGGCCATGGAGGGACTGCCAGACCTCATTAGACAACAATGAGGCTCTGTCTAGCAAGTGATGGCTGGAGATGCAGGCCCAGGATAACTCTGGTAGGGGGGCACCATCTTCACATGCACTTCATGTGGGCACTGCCTCGACTCTCACCGGACCCCATGCCTCCACCTGGCCCTTTCTTTCTTTTGTTAACCTGCTTGTAGCCAGTCGTGGCTATGTTCTCCCTCTTCCTAACTGACTTCTGTGTGGAGACCAAGGGCCAGGGCCATCAAGGAGCTGGGGTCCCTGAGAAGCTGCCTGCAGCAAGGCACCCCCAGATGGCCTTCTACTGAGGGGTATGGCTCAGGAGGCAGAGGTCAGAGGCTACAGTCAGGCCAGTTGAGCTACAGAGGCCCTCTGGATCAGCATGGGGAGGAGAGGGCTTTGTGTAGGACGTCTGTCTTTGAGACCTGTCCTCTGAGGTCTCCATACTTTCAGAGTCACCCATGAAGCCAAGCTCACTGTGGCACCAAGTACCCACCCACAATCCAGGCAACGAGGACCCCATGCTCAGGCTGGATAGAGGCCTGGCTTTCATGTGCTTCCCTGATTTCTTCACTTCTACACTACATTTCCACTTTAAAAGGTATCCTCTCCACAAGTCATGGGAAAAGCAGCCCACCAGGTGTTTCTCTGCACATAGTACTTCTGTGATGTCACCAAGGTTCAGGAGAAATCCCTCCATGCCATTGGCCCATGTTCATCCTAAATCCATTCCTAGACAGTTGAACAATCTCTTTGCGAGGACAAGGCTGTGTCACCAGGAAGTGAGCAGAAACAGATCTTAGAAGGAAGGACACCTGCACAGTCCTTAAATCCCACACCCCATCAGTCCTATATCACTGAGAGCAACTGCTTCCACAAGGTATAACTGCAAGATGCTTCTTATGAGCAGCGCTGTGCCCAAGGGGAGCTAACCTCTGTCCCTTACAGCCTCACAGAGTCCCCAGACCCCCAGCTGCCTCCTTGACATTCGGCAGGTGGTATCTCACCAGTCAGCTAACACCAAGCACCCGGCTCCAGGCATGGCTGTGCCCCCATCTTTCTCCTCTTTGAACAGTGGGTGATGGCCCCAACAGGGGAGGGGCAGCATCCTTCAAATCAGTACAGGCTTCAAAAAGGACTGTTAGGGCCAAGAATATAGCTCAGTGGCAAAGCACCTGCCTGACAAGCACAAGATCATGAGTTTGATTTCTGGTACCAAAAAAATAAACATAGAATTTTTAAAAAGTACTGTTAGGAGACAGGAGGGGTCCCCACCAGCTTGGCCGGCCTCATCCCCCACTGCTTGCAGAGTACATTAGGGGACCCTTCTTCCTCCCATGGTGGGACATGATGGCAGATTACTGTCCTTCTGTGCCTCTAGAGTTATGGGAGAATTGGCCAGGTACAGGGCTCAGAGACCCAGCCAATGCAGAGTACAATCCTCAAAGTGAGGGGTCCCCACCTCCGAGTTCCCTCCATAGTAGACTGCCCCTGCCAGCTACAGGGCTCTCAGACCTGTCTTACCCCATCCCAGGTTGGCTCTGCCTAGACCTGCCCCACCCGTTCCCAGGCTAGGCCTCCCCTGGATCCACCTAACCCTGTCCTAGGTTAGACCTCCCCAGGACATGCCCCATCCCCATACTAGGCTGGCTCTCCCTGGGCCCAGGAACAGGCCATGGACCTATCTGCTGCCACCTGGTGGAGACAGGAGGCTCACAGCTTTCCTCTTGGAATAGAGCCAGGCATCTGGGCAGGACTTCACAGGCACCCACGCAGGATCCCCAGTGCATACTGAGTCCAGCCACTTTTGATCCCTAATGGGCTGGGGCTGCACCCCTGGCTTCCCTCCCCTAGACTGCAGCACAGTCCAGGAGGGGAGGGTCTGCTACAAGTATGAAGGCAAAGCTGAACTCAGAGACTGCGTGCCAAGCCAAGCTGCAGGAGCAGGTGGCACTCCGTGGCGTCCACACAGCAGGCGGTGACTGGCAGCCCTCAGGGGTGAGTCCAGAGCATGCCTGTAGATGTCTCCATCCCAACACAGCCTGGATACACAGGATAGAGGCTAGGGAGGCCATAGTGCCTGTCCCTGTAAGAAAGAGCCTGTAAGGGGACCTCAGGTGAGGGGAGCGGTCAGCTCCTCAGTCCTAACCCACACCTGACTGACCCCAGGACACTCCCAGTGATGGTGGTGAGAGGGACAGTTGTGCTAGTGATGGAGGACTGCACTCTGCGTTGGCTGGGTCTCTCAGCACTGTACCTGCCAATTCCCCAATAACTCTAGAGGCACAGGAAGAAGGGTCCCCTAATATACTCCGCAAGCAGTGGGGGATGAGGCCTGCCAAGCTACCTGCACGGCACAGATGCATTGAGCTTGTCTGTCCATGAGTGCTGAGGTCACCAACAACCCTGATCATATGACGGAGCACAGAGTATACAACACAGCTGTGCACAAACCGTGGGGCTCCTAATGATCAGTACGGGGTGCATATGGCCAGTGCAGACAGGGATCCCTCAATGTGAGGAATTCTGGTACAATGGGAAGGTGTTAGACAGCCTTCCTTGCAAATCTCTCCTCATTAACGCTTCATATGGAGCCAAATGTGTTGTAATAAAATGGCTATTAACGCACTTAAATTTATGATGATTTCACTGGGTACAGTTGGAGTTAACCTTGTAGATGAGGATGGAAGATCTGTGCAGATCTGTTCATAGTGTGCCCTGCTCTTGGCCACCAGATGCTAGTTAGAGGCAGCAGGATGAGTCCCCAGCCTCACAGTGGGGCCCAGGGTGCCACACAAGACCTGAGGGTATCACTCACTCTTAGGATGCACCCTGTGAAGAATGTCAATGAGGTCTGACATCCCCTCCAGGCAGGGACACAATACTGCCCCAGAGCCTGCACAGCCTCAGTACAAACAGGAAAGAGAAGGGGTATGTGTGTGAGGGCAGCCTGGACCAGGTGGTCCTCAACACGGAGCTGGTAGAATCCAAGCCCCTGTGCTCCTCCCTTGCCTCTGGGTGATGTGCCGACTACAGGTGCACTAGGCAGACACGGCCTGCATGCACCCCCATACCTGTCCCCAGGGACCACAGCTGCACAGCTCCCTGAATGCTCCCTCACATAGGACCCCTATTCCACAACTCAGCAACACCAATAGCAAGCTGGCCTACTATTGTTTATTAAACGTCTTCCCCACCTGGAAGCTCAGCTCTAAAGGGGCTGAGGCTCTACCAGGGTGCACATACAATGCAGGTGGGAAATGAAAGTGGTGGATCCAGGCCATCTCCAGCCAGAAGCTCAGAGGTGACCCATGCACTCAGGATGAATGAGGAGTGGCCACAGCTACCTGGACTGAGTGACGATGGCTCACGTCAGCACCTCTCTCTGCAACTTCTCACACCATGGGTCGAGGCCCACTGCCGTCAAGAGTGGACCCAGGTCCAGAGACCATGGGCCACAGGCTGTGCTGCAGACACTGTGGACCCCAGGAGAAAGAGGGCAGCACATGGCCCACAGATAGAGCACCTAGGCCTGCAGACCCATGTTCCCAGCCCAGTATCACCTGTGCCATCTGTGACCTGAGCATGGCCCTGAACCCTATGCCTCAGCATCCTCATTAATAAACCCAGGGCAAGGACAGCGCCTGTTTCTAGGGACACAGTGAGAGCGGTGCTGGATGATGGCAATAAAGGCCTCAGGGCAGGAACCAGTGACATAAGTCACCACACCTGCGGTGGTTTTCCTTGCATCTTGGACCCCTTCCTATGTTCAAAGCCAGGGATCCCATCATACCTGGAAGGGCTGTGCTGCAGGGCAGTGGGCAAGCTGCTAGTCCTCACTGCACAGGAAGGGATGGTTTGCTGGGGAACCCTGCCCCTAACAGTGACACATCCCATCACGCAGGTAGGAGCTCAGAGCCATGCAGACCACCCAGGGAGGAGCTGTGAGGGTGTGGGAATGGGACACAGGCTCCTGGGTGCCACAGCGCACACAGCCATGAGCTGAGCTGGAGGTCCATGGTGCCACAGGACCTGGGAGGCAGGCTCTTCAAAACTGGACTGGGGGGCTGGGGATTTAGCTCAGCGGCAAAAGCGCTTGCCTGGCAAGCGCAAGGTCGTGAGTTCGGTTCCTGGTACCGGAGAAAAACCAAAAACCCCCCCCAAAAAAAAAAAACAACTGGACTGGTCCTATGTCCACACTTCACTGGAAGAGAGCACAGGACTTCACAGAAGATAATGGGGTGGTGCTAGGTGCAATGGGGAACAGAGAGAGGCCACAGACTGAGATAGCCCTTTCCCTGGGGGACACTAACAGCCCCAGGATAGGGATAGAACAGAGCACATGGTAAGGAGAACCTACTCTTTAAGAATAAAATATGGCACCACGACCTCTAGCTGGCTCCCCAGACCCCTACAAAGCTTCACACTGACTCCATCATCTGCCTGCTGGCTGGAGCTGCCTGGGATGCCCTGGACGCCCAGTACCATCATGAGAATTAAAGCAGACTCTATGTGCAAACTACTGGTCTCCAGCCATGCCTTCCCCATACACCCCACCCCAGCCCTCATGGCCCCCATGGCTGACAGCCCTCCACCAGACTCACCTCCATCTCTGAGCTGTGGGCATGCACCTTCTGCACCATGTCCTCAGCCTCCCGCATGCGGCGTGTCAGCTGGGGTGAATACTCAGCCTGGGTCAGCTCGCTGTCGTAGGACCCTAGGATGGCGCGCATGCCATCTCGCTCCTGCGGGCAGAGGGCAACTGGTCAGAGTGGAGAGGAGACACTGGGGATGGCTGGGAGGAGTACGGAGACAGGAGTCTGGTGGAGACAGGAAGTGAATCTCAAGCTGCTCAGGACTTGGGTTCCTATGTACCTGCCAACAGCGCCCTCCTCCAAACAGCCCACCTGAGAGGCCTAGGTGCTTTCCCAAGAGCCTGAACCTAGTCTTGGTGACAGGCTGGATACCCCCTTGCTGCTGAGCCTCTGACCAGTAACATTCTGAGCAAGGACATAAACAGCAGCCTGATGAATGAAGACCCAATAGAGCAGGGATGCCACATGTCCCACTGGGGTGAGAAACCTACTGCACCTAAAAGCTTCCTGAAAGCCAGCTCCAACCGAAACTGCTGTGGTCTCAGCAAGTACCTTGTCTACCCACAGAGCTCATGGATGAAGCCACTAGCCACGCCCAGCACCCTACCTCCTCTTGGGCATAAGTGGGCATTTTGTGAAGCCAAGGTCCGTTTTCTTGAGATGACAGATAACCACAGAGTCAGGCGTAACTCAGAGCCAGGACAGAAGTCACTACCCATCTGTGCCCTGCTAGAAGTGCAGAAGCTGACAGTGTAAGCCAGGAAGCCAGGGACTAGGGACTGGGACAGATTCCTTCCTTGAATGCTGGATTATTTGTCATGTGAACCCAAAGGGGCAAGTCCTCTGTTAGGCCGCAGGGAGGATGCCCCACATGGGAGCTGAGCTGCTCTGCAGGCTGTGTGAGGGGTGTGGTCTGACCAGGAAAGCCTGGTCTCTCCTGGCTGTTTGCTGAGTTCTCCCCTCCCCTAATGGGGGTTCTCAGATGTGGACCTAACAGCTCAGAGCCACTGGGTTCCTCTGGCCTCAGATGCCACATCTAGGTTCAGGAGGCCCAGCCCCAGGAGATCTAGGTCATGCCGGAACCCACCCCTAGTTCAGTGGGCATGAGCACAGCTCTTCCATCCCCTGCGCATATACACATCCCCCAGCACCCTGGCAGGGTGTGGACAGATGATGCAGGTCTGGGTAGCTGACCCAGCACTTTTCACTGACATTTTGGTATGTGCCACCACCTGGCTCTGAGCACATCAATTTGGGAGTCAGTGGCGAGGACGCCGGGGCTGGCTTCCATGGCCAGGGTTCAAACCCTATTCTGCTCTGAGGTCAGTCATGTAATCATCCGAGTCTCAGTTCCTTCTTAGCAAGATGGCTGTAAGGACAGCTATGCAGTCAATACTGCCATGGTCTAAGTGTCTGGTGAGCCACCCTGTAAACAAGTTGCCCATCAAGTGACAGAACTGTATTAATGCTGGCCATCAGGCACCAGTTATAGAGCCGGGAAGCAGGTTTTACCTGCTCACTGGCATAACCTGTCGATCTCCAACACACATCCTGGGAAGGGAGCTGAAGGAAAATCAGACAGCCCTGCATGACTGCACCAGGTCCCAGGCTTCCCCATCAAGTGAGCTGCAGGGTCTGCTGGCACCAGCACTGCTTCAGTGGGCATGTTCCCAACCCTGCTGGAGACCTACCTATTCGCCCAGCCCACCTGAGAGTGTTCCCCAGAGGCTGGAGCCCTTCCCATACAACATTCTCTGTTCCCACTCACATACAGAAGCCCAGCTGTGTTCCTGGGGAGAGGCCAATCCAACAGCTCAGCTATCTCAGTGCCCACACTCTCAGCTGCCCCTGCCTTGCAAGTGGGACAGGAGGGCCCTGCCTCCTCTCTCTTGAGCTAATTGAGGGCCCAGGGCCTTGGGCTGTCATGTCTGGCCTCTTCCCTCACAAGCAGCTGAGGCTTGGGGTTGTCATCGAGCGTGGACTGTGTAATTAGTTGATGACAAAAAATTCAATAAGTGAGAAATTAAAGTTACAAATCCAACTGGAACTGGTCACATATCCAGGGAAAATTTGTTTCCACAGGAAGGTTTATGAAGTGTCATAATTTTATTGAAATCCTATATCTTCCTATTGACTTTTATCATTTCAAGCTGGTTACCCAAGTTATCATTACCACACTGTCGATGCCGCAAGAGGCCAGGATGGGGGATTTCCTTCCATAAACAAGCTGTAATTGTCTCCTTTATTGACCAATAAATCTCCAAAATGCTGCCCTTCACTAGGGTTCTCTTCTGTTACATCTCCAGGCTAGCAATGGCTGGCAAGGAAGAAAAACACTACGCGCAAGTTTGTTGTTTGTATCCTTTCAAGGAATTGTTTTGCCATTAGTAGAGGAGGAGGCACTGGGCTGGTGTGATTTGGTAATGACTTTTTAATGACTGATTCCACTTGCAGTCAAGTTCGCTTTGTTTCCACTTGAGCAAATGCCGGCGATTAATCGCTGCACAAACCAGCACCCAGGCTGTACGACACAGCCTTAAAGACTTGCTCAGGAAGTACAAAATAAAACATCACTTTCCACTGAGCGCATCTCCTGGGTACAGACAGTCCTGTTTGTAAGCAACAGAACTTGCCCATCACATAACTGATCGCAAGTGAAAGAGAGTCAGAGAGTTGAGAGTATACTGTCTCGCTTATGAAGAAACCAGCAGAAGGGCTGGGGATACAGCTCAGCGGCACAAGCGCCTGCCTAGCAAGCGCAAGGTCCTGAGTTCGATTCCCAGTACCAAAAAAAACCAAAAAAACAGTGAAGCCCTGGGGTCTCTATGCCTCTGGACCCATATGAGCTGCTGGCACAAGGGATGGAAAACAGCACATCTAACTCCATAAACTCACAAAGGGCACAGGAGACACTGGCCACCTGAAACTGCTATGTCCTATCTGAAACTAACAAATCAATACCTGAACACGTTCTGAAGACCACAAGTACGTCACAGAAACACAATTGGGTGCAGTGGCTCCCTGCTCCAGACCCTTAAGGTCCACAGACTCCTCACTTCCTCAAGGCTCTGGTCATACCTCGTGAGCTCTGCTTACCTACCTCTGCTGTAAGGGAACTTTCAAGGCTCTGTGAACCCAGGGCTGCTCCTGGGGACCTCGGCCCCACTCTCAGAAATTAGTCCAAGGCCAGTTCCTGCAGGTCAAGTGCATGACAGGAACTTTGAACATCAGTAACGGGAGGAAGAATTTCTTAGTTACTTTCTCCTTGCTGCTGGGATACAACGCCCTACACCCACAACTTAATGGAAGAAAGATTTATTTTAGCTCAGAGTTTGTAGAGGTTTCAATCCATAGTTAGCTGGCTCCAGTGCAGGGCAGCATGGTGAAGGGACATGGTCCAGGAGAAACAGTCCATGGCAAGATAGACAGGAAGTAGTGAAGCACTCTTCTTCTTTCCTTTTTTATTCCATCCAGGCTACAAACCTACTGGTTGGTGCCACCCACACCCAGGGTGGTCTTCCCTCTTCAATAAGCCCATTATCCACACCCAGAACTATGCTAAACCAATCAGAGGACTAACTCAGCACCACGCACCCAACAATCCAGTCACACCCAAAAGCCTCACCCATATGAGCGTATGAGGCTTTGGGAAGACATCTAGATACAAAGTATAACAAAGAAGTTCCAGTAAGTAGGAAGGACATGGAGACAACAACACCTTGTTTTACGATGTGGCTCTGTGGCATCTGCACAGTTACAACCTGGAGCTAACACTCAAGGAGCTTCCTTTGATTAGCTCCAACTGCCCTGAGGCACCTGAACCCCAGGCAGAGGTGCCTGACCCGGAGCCCAGGCTCCAGACATACCAGCCCACGCAGCATAAGACCTGAACATCTATAGGAGGCTCTAGGCAGCATTTACCAAGGACTTTCAGGGTCACCTCCACCTAGGCCATCTCCTTCGAGGGCTCACTGGGAAGTAGACACAACCCTCCATGGGGGACACTCCAGACACGAGTAAAGCCAGCTTTTAGGGTTAGAAGAGTTACCTTCCATGGATATCCAGCTCTGACTATAGGCATCACAGGTGACAAGCCACACTCAAGAACATCAACACCATGTCAGTCCCACCCATCTCTGTGAGACAGTCTACCCTGAGTCTCACATGTGGAACAGACCTCTTGTACTCCATGGACCTCACAGGGCACGGACTCCAGGCAGACTCTGACCTGTGTCTGCAGTAAGTGTAGACATCATGAACCTCCCTAGGAAGCAGCTGCAAATCCCTGGGGTAGCTGAGATTTGCTATTCAATTGGCCCTTGTACAGAGGAAAGGCAGTAAGTGTAGTGCCTGAGCAGGGTAGACAACTGAAAAGTGGGCAGAATAGCCACAATCCACTGTGGAAGGGTTGATGATAAACAGACCACTACAGTAACAACAGTGCACACTCAGAAGTTAGGCCTGATGGTAGCGAGAAGGAAAACCCAGAAAAGTCCAGCATTGAGAATCTGTGACCATAGCCCACACTCATAAGATCTGGGAGCTGGAAAACCCCAGGCAGACACAGACAGTATCTACACAATATCTGTGTTTATCTAGACCAGCTACACATGCGCATGTACACAAAGGCAGGTGCCAACTACAGTCCCTAATGTGGAGCCAGAAATACAATCTGTGCCCAGATAAACCCCAACGACAAGTTGTGGGAAGAGAAGTTTATCATTTAAATTCATAGAATGCAAATGAAAGTGGACAAGCCACACAAAATAAGAATAAAACCAATAGTACATAAGTCTGCATAATATACTTACAATAATAAAGGAATTTAAATTATTAGTAAGTTACAAGATATAAGAAATAACAAGCAAATTAAAAGAGCTACAAAAACAAAACTAAAAAATGAACAAAGTAAAAATAGAACAACTACAAATTTTACTATAGTAAGTCAGCAGTTCAGAAGTGGCTAAAGAGAGATTCAGCAAACTGAAAGCTAAATCTAAAGAATAAACCAAAAAAAAGCAAAGGGCAAAGATGGAAAACGTTCAGAGCTAAGGGACACACAAGGGATAATAAGGAAGCTATAAAAGGCTCTAATTAAAATCACAGAAGGAATTGAGGCAGAGAGGTAAGCATTAAGGAATCAGTGTTGA